TTGAGACTAAGAGACCTTTGCTTATCCTCCAAGTTACAAGATATTCTATTTCCTTTTAAAATCTTTGTGGTTTTTAGGCCTTTGATCTATTTTGAATTCCTACTTTCATACAGTGTAAAGTAGAACTAAAGGTCCATTTTCCCCCATACGGAAAGCCAGTTATTCCATCACCATTTGCTGAAAAGAATTTTCTCTTCTTATTGAATTGTTTTTGTGCCTTTGTTAAAAATCGGGTGATTACATAAATTGGGGTCTATTTCTGGGCTTTTCATTCCTTCCCATGATGTGTTTGTTGATTCTTACTCCAGACACATACTGTCTTGATTACTATAGCTGTGTAGTATGTTTTGTTTTGAAATCAGGTAGTGTCAGTCTTCTAATTTTTTTTCCCAAACATTTTTTGAAAAAAGGTTTTGAGAAAACATTTTAGAATCAATTTGCCAATTTCTACAATAAAAAAAAAAAAAGGTCCTGCTGGGACTTTGGTTGGGATTGCATTGAACCTATAGATGGGTGTGGTGAGACCCGGACATCTCAACAACAAATCTCAACTTGAAGTATTTATTTTCTTCCCCTTTCTCCCCCGACCACCCAACACCAAAACGTGCTCTGTACTATCATGCCTGATTCCAACACTGAGAGGCACCCTTAGTTTTGTCCTGTCCTTTTCCCCTAACTACAATCATTATGGCCTGCCGATTTTTCTCACTAAACATGTACTGGCTCCATCCTCATCTTTGTCCCTGCCTCCCCTGCCATCACACAGGCTTCCTCATTACTCACCTAGGTAATGGCAGTCACGGCCTTACTAGCTGGGCCCTGCAAATCTAGCTTGACCACCGGCCTCAGAGAGGCTGTTTTGCACATCTGACCACACCACTCTGGCTCACAGCCCATCAGCTCTAGGATGAGTCTCAATTGCCTACCTTTTCAGCTGCATTTCTGATCTCCCCCGTACCTTCCTCTTTCTGAAGGCCTCCCCAGCCCCCAAATGAGTTAGGGACCCCTCCTTGGCATGCCATTATGCCTTGTACACAGGAGTGGGTGCATAATGTAGGGCCCTTATTCAGAAATTAGGAAGAATTTCAAGATAGTGACCATAGTGAGTTAAACCAAGTGTAAGGCCCTTCTGAGCACAGGGCCCTGAGTGACTGCACGGGTCGTTTGCACATCACACTTTGATTACTGTCTCTGTTCCTGTGGAGCGAGCAGCCCTAGGGCTCTGCAGGGCCCAGACAAGTCATCCATGAAGTGAACTGCTTTCTTCCAAAATCAGTGGCTTTTGTTCTTTGTTATAACCTGATCAATTTAAATGCTCTTAGGAGGTAGAACATTCACTAGTATTGTAGTCCAGTGACTCAGTTCTGAAAACTGAGTCAACAAACGATGCGGCACAAGACCCACTGTGATCTGGGCATTGCAAGCTCTGATGGAAGGAGTTTGCTGGTGGTGGGAATGGCAGCCAGCAGCTCCAGCACAGAGGAAGAGTGGGGCATATACTTTCAAGCCCGGAGGTCACCAGCTTGTATTCCTTAGAGTATAAATAGCCTGTGCTCATTCTCAGTAAATACCTGTTCTTATTCAAAGGATTCTACATATAAAACACCCCAGAATGTCTCCTTCCAAATAGGCTGTAAATGTATGCACATTTGTATTTGGCATTGTCCATACAAAGGGTAAGTGACTGGTGGAGGAAATGTATATAGCAAGGTAGCATCTCACTGTCTGGGGCTGGGTGTAGGGTGCTTACTGTGGTCTGGTTTGGGGCCCAGGTCCTAGTGAAGATCTTCATGGTCAAGTGTAAGAACTCTTCTGGTCTGTCTTACTGCCCAGCTGCCCTTTTCTTCCCCTTCAGAACTTCCAGGCAGTATGGACTCAGTCCCATGAAGCCTTTTATTCCTAACATGCACAAGGCCTGGCAATAGGGCCACTAAATAGGGGGATAAAGGAAAAAGGAAACAGAAAAGAGATTTCAGAGTTATATTCTATTATCTTGTGGAATAAGATAGCTAACATTACTCCCTACCACCATCACCTAAAGCCAACAAGCAAATAAAAACCTTAGTTAATCTAAACGTTAGGCAGAAAAATAGACGTGAGCAAGTGGAGAGAGAGTAAGGCCAGTAAATTCCACTAAAAGGGACTTAAAGAATTAACTAGGTAAAACCAGAGAGCCAGAAAGGACTCACAGAATTAAAGAGTTAATTAGTTGAGATTCCGAAGGCCAGGAGTGATTTAGAATGTCCCCAGATGCCCCAGATAAAGAAAAGTATCCCAGCACAGCCCACGTCTTCACTGTACCAATTAGATCATGCCATTGTAAAATCTACTTAGCCTGCAAAAAGGCCCAGTTTATTCCTTACCCTTAACCTATACACTGTTTTTTTCCTCTTCTAGGGACTTAATCAAGTAACTTTGTAACCAGGGCAGGAGACGGACCTTCTAAGTGTAAATAAACCTATGTGGACAAAGAATGCTGAGATCCAAGCCAACAGTCTCCTAAATAACCCTATTCTTAAGATACAACTTCAAAGGAATTATAAATCACCTTTATAAATCATGCCTTATGCTGACCCTTACCCAAAACGCCCTGTAAAACCCCAGAACCTCACCCTTAAACATGCTTCCTCTCGGAGGTTGCCTGCACTCTCTCTTAGTGGAGTGTGTATTTTTAAGACTTCTTAATGCCCAGCTTACTACGTTTCCTCTCTGCTCCTCCAGTTGTGTCTTTGTCACTTGGCTATTTCATTCTATTTTCCAAACTTTAAATACAAGTCTTCACTCTCTCTGGCCTGCATCAGAAAAGAAGGGAGGGGCTGCTGAGAGCTCTGATTTGAGCTTGCAAGTTCCCGTCAAAGCTTCCCCTTCCTCTGCTTTATTCAAGTAAACCTGCCTTTGGCTACCTTGACTCTGGCCAGCTTCTCCCTTGGACTGTATTCAAATAAAACTTTTGCTCTGCTTTGCTGCTTTGTGTCTGCCCTTCAATTCTTTGTGGCAGAGGGACAAGAGCGAGGAGAACAAACTCTACCCCCAACATAAAGTCCGGTTTAACTTTGTCCATAATGTAGATAATAACTCATTCTGGTTCACTGAAGATAAATGCTCATATTAATAATGTTAATGAAAACAATAGTAAATTTATATCAATAACATTTATGAAATGTTATTTCTTAATAACATGAATACAGCTTTAGCCGTTTTTAAGTTCAGTTTTTCATTCATTTATTCATTCAACAGATACTGAGTGCCTATTATATGTTGTAACTAGGAAATAAATTTCCATGATCAAACATTCTATAGTTTATTTTACACTTGGCCATTTAAGCACAATGAAAAAGTATATCTTTTTAACAGTAAAACTATGAACTATATATTCCTATATTCCTTTCTCTTTCCTGCCTCAGTGCCGTAAAATGGATAAAAGGCAAAACATAAGGTTGTGTTAAACTAAAGAGTGGTGCCAATGTACAAAGTGCATAGCATCCCTGAAAATGTTAACGTTATTAATGTGATATACACTCTGGAGCCTGTATGCCAATTCGGCTCACAGAGAAAGACGTAGTAATGTCTTATTTTTATACAACAATGTAATGTCATCTACAAAGCATTTTCATATGTGTAATTTCACTTGAAACCTACCTTTTAGAAGCTTACAACCTAAAGCAGACATAATGACAAATGTCTGATCCACACCTGACACATAGTAATAACTCAATAAGTATTTGTTGAATGAATGTGGTTACAGTACATTTGATCAAACATAAAGGGGTATTAAAATAACACAAAAATGTTACAGTAAGTCCTGAGAATATTTCGATTTAATTCGACTCATGGTGTTTACACATAGTAGCAACTGAATACATATGTGCTTAACTGAAGTTAATTTCTCAGATTCTTCTGTACCCCAGGAGTCTATTGCATGGAGGGAGGGGTCATCCTCCTCCCCTCTGTGGGAAAGCTACCTTGGCTGGGTGATGATGACGGTGGCTTAGCCTTTACCGGTTGTGGTTGACAGGATCTAGGGTGACCCAATGTCCCTCACCTTGGCATGATTCCTCCCCCGTGAATAAAATAGGATATTATGTTATGTTATATGACAAAAGAGACTTTGCAAGTGTAATTAAGAAGAGCAGTCAGTTGATTTTGAGAGAGGGCCTAACCTACTTGCATGAGCTCTTTCCAGGATGTCTCCTGTGCTGGATGCCGCAGAGGAAGTCGAGAGAAGTCTGAAGGCAAGCAGGCGCCATGTTGTGAGCTGCCTCTGGGTACAGCAGGGGAAGGGTCTGAGAATGGCCTCTGGGAGCTGAGAGTGGCCGCAGGCTGAGAGCCAACAAAGGAAAGAAGGGCGCTCAGGCCTACAGCTGCAGAAGGCCGAATCCCACTCACAGCAATAGTGAGCCTGGGAGCTGATTTTTTCCCCAGAACCTCTGACCAGAGCTCAGCCTGGCCGACATCTTTGTTCCTGCCTTGTGGTACGCTGAGGCAGAGAATCCAGCCATGCTGTGCTGGACTTCGATCTACAGAACTGTGAGCCAATGTTCATGCTGTTTTAAGCCACTGTTTGTGGTAGTTTGTTATATAGCAATAGAAAATGAATCCAGTTGTGAATGGTGTTTTTACGGTATGGAAAATTCCTCTACAGGTTATACAGGTAGATGGGTGGGCTTGGTGTCTTGGGCTGAGAACAGCTTGGCTGGCCATCAGGCATTCGGGGTCGCTGAGATGGGCTTTTACAGGCAATAAGACCACGAGATCAGCAAGAGTCTGAAGAACGGAAACATTCTCTTTTGGTGATCACTTAAAGCAGGGTCTTCTTTCATTCATTCAGTGAATATTTACATTTTGCTCTCTTCTCAGTGTTGCTATAATTATATATCTAGCAGCAGATGGATAAGGTCCCTTTCTCATGGGGCTTACACTCTAGTGAGCATGGAGGAACCAGAGTATAAAGGGGCTGCAGTGTCAAAGAGCAAAGTCATGTCAGCTAATAAACGCAATAAAGACAATAAAGCACCTGGATGTGATAGAGGCTGCTGGGGTGGGGAAGGGTTCAGAGAGGACACCTTCATGGGGGGACGGGGGAGGGGTGGGTGACACTTCAACTGAGATCTGGATGGTGCAAAGAAGCCGGCCACGAAAAATCTGAGGTCAGAGCATTCCAGCCAGAGAGAACAGCAAGAGCAAAGACCCTGAGGCCGGAAGAGCAAGAAAGCGGTGTGGCTAGAGTCACTGAAGAGAGCTCTCTGTGACACGCTTAGAGAGACCAACTGCAGACGGGTTGTGCAGGATCTGGGCATCACGAAGGGTTTCCGTTTAGGTGTGAGTGCTCTGGGTTCTAAGCAGGGGTGCAGTACCATCTGATGCACTGTTTTTAAAAGAGTGCTCTGAGGGCTGAGGGGAGAAGTGACCACACGGAGTAGGGTGAGAGCTGGAGACCAGCCCGCAGGCTCTGGAGGAAACTGGGCAGTAGGTGGCGATGGCTGGGACCAGAAAGGGACACTGGCGCTGACCTTCCTGTGGAGAGAAAGCAGATAAGACTTTCTGGGGGACTTGATTTAGAGGGTGAACAACTTGGTGAGTGATGGTCCCATTTATTGAGTCGGGGAAGGTCAGGGATGCGGGGAATGAAGGGTCCGGTTTTCTAGGTGAAGCTGGGAAATCTAGCCACAGGCCTATTGTAATGCCTCACAGGGAGAAAACGAGGAAGCAGGTCCTAGAAGAAACACAGATGCTCCACGGTCTTGGCAGTAGGGGCACCAAAAACCTACCTGGCTTCAGTGCGAATAGTGTGGCCCGGTAGGGCAGGGCTGGCAAAATTGGGTGGGGCATAGTTCCAAGGCCCAGGCTCTGATTAAGTTTCCTAACCTTATCCAGTCCCAATCCTTTTGAGGATCTGATGAGAACTCTGTGTCTGTTCCATAGGGAAAATGCACACATAGAGATATTTGGCATCAGTTTGGGGGGTTTTAGAACTCCTTAAAGCCCACCCCACAGTCCTGACTTATGGACCCCAGGTTAATATGCTGACCCACGAGTGTCCACAAGTCTTCTGGAAAATGCATCAAGATAATTCACACTGAACAAAAGCCTAGGAGTGTACATCTGTCATCTTTGCCCAGCTTTTGAACCCTCTTCCAAGGTCTCTAGAACTGGCCTTGTGCAGAAGCTGAGAACACCAGGTATGTCCTCCTGGCCTCCCACTGGGCCTGGACACTGGCCATTGCTCTAGGTTTGGCTGGTCAGATACAGGATGGGTTCCAGGCTGGGACTGTCATGTGATGAAAGGATGGGAGCATCCCTCCTGGAGGTGGTAGCTGCAGTGGCCACAGGAAGGTCGTTTCCAAGGGTGGCAAACTATGGTGCGTGGGTTCAGTGGGGAGGACAGCAGAGTCCTTGATGGATAAAAATTGGACGAGGTCCAGCCTCCCTTATTCTGCTTATTTCTCATCTGGCTTCCTTGCTTTCCTGAGGAATCTGTGAGCCTCTCAAGAGGCTTTCTGTGAATTCCTTTCCCTTATGAAATGGTCAGAGTCTGTAAATGTTGTTTGCAACTAGGAATCCTGACAGGTGGTATATAACTAGAGAACAGGGGAGAGGACAGAGAGGCCGAGGAGGCTGAGGGGAAGGGTGGAGAGAAGCGGGAGGACGAGGAGAGGCAGGGAGACAAGGGGGGAAGTGATCTGCAGTCACACAGGTGGGATTTGCCTCCCGTGTCTCATGCAACCAGGGGCAAATTTGTTTTTCTTTTTAAACTTTCAAACCTACAGAAAAGTTGAAAAAACAGTATTTTCAACAACTTGATACCCCTTACATAGATTGAAAACTTATTAACATCTTTGGGCAAGTTTCTTTTTTGTGAGCTTAAGTCTTATCTTCCTCATTTGTAATATTGGAATAGTAATACTACCTCCCTCAGAAGGTTTTAGTGAAGATTAAAAAAGAGAGAACTTGTGAGAATCATTTAATTTAGAATGCTTACTGTGCATGCAGTGAACTTTGGTGATTTCATTATTAATTCTCTGGACGTACACGTAGGGAGCACCTACACAGGGTGAGACACTTCGGAGGCACCAGAGATCAGGTGATGTATCTCGCAGTTTGGAAATCTATGGGAATATGGATAAGTAAATAAAAACTTACAATATAAGACAGTATTTTTCAACCTTGAATACTGTTCAACCATGTAAATGGAAATCTCAGACTCTCAGTGTTGGCTTAACTCTTAAGAAAAAACTTTAGTTTGAAATAATTTTAGATGGGCAGCAAAGCTGTAAATATGTGACAGAGAGTCCTGTATACTCCCATCCAGCTGCCCCTACTCCGACCACCTTATGTAACCACAGCATATTGATCAAAACTAAGAGGTTCACACTGGGACAGTACTATTAACTAAACTACAGATTTGACCAATTTTTCCACTAATGTCCTCCTTCTGTTCCAGGAGCCTATCCAGTTGCAGTTAAGTCAGGACTTAATTCTTTATAATGTTTTATTTGAAAATGGGCAAATATAAATCTAGCTCTAAGTTTATTGTGCTTGTAGCTCTTGTACTACTATATAGCAAAACAAATTAATACATTATTTTCAAGCAAACTTTAAAGTTCAAACCAATATAATTCCAGTTAACTTAAATGATGATTGATAATGTTTTGATGAATACCAGTTGATTAAAAAATAACTAATCCACAGTGCCTAGTATATCAGGCAGTGTTCTAAATGCTTCATATGTACTGGATTTTATAGACTCTAAAAACCCATTAACTATAAGGTGCACCATTACCTCACATACCACTGGACAAAAAAATAAGGTCAATTAAACATGCATGATATGCAAGACACATCCTGATTTCAGGAATATTAAAATAGATGTCCTGGACTCATTGAGTTATGGTATATACTCATCTCATCTTTACAAAGGCCTTCTTAGGTAGGTGCTATTATAATCCTCATTTTTCAAATGAGAAAACAGAGACAGAGAGCAATTAGATTAACTTGCTCTATCCAGACTCTATCTGGGTAGACAGTGGTAGACGCAGGATTTGGACGCAGGTAGTCTGGCTCTGGAGCCTCTGTGCTCTTAGCTCCAAGCATAGGCATCTAATAAAGCACTATGCTGAAGTTCATTACAGCCTAGGGACTGGAAGTTTATGTCAGAGGTGGTACTAGAAATACTGGAGCACCTGTACCCTCCTTTGCAGTTCCAACCTCAGTGGAAAGTGCAGGTCAAACCTTCCTGGCACTGAGGAACAAGAACACCTGTTCTCACTTTTGTCTTAAAGAAGACACTGTTTCCTCAAATGCGGTTCCTGGCTCTAAGCTATGACATTTCTTGGTGGAGAGACAATCTGTGTAAATGGACCTGTCTGAAATAATAATCACCTGAAATGGAGCTATGTTGTTTTCAGTATTACCAATGGCCAAAATGTATGGAATGAAGAATTAGGGCATTGAGTCAGCAAGAAGAGTGATCAATTGTTCATTTTTAATCAAGAAATATTTACTGAGAGTGTGCTATATACCAGGCACTGGGGCAGGCCCAGGGAACCCAGAGACGAATTAAGCCCAGTTTGCCATTAAGTTGAGATGGAGGGGGTGATCAGACAAGTACACTACAACCCACAGAGGTAATTGCCATAGACTGACTTCAAAATCATTCAAAATAATCTGAGGACGATGGGGTGGTGAGGGTATAGCTGAAACATGATGGGTTGTCTGTGAATTGTTGAAACTAGGTACTATGTATAAGAGTTCAATACACTCTTAGACTTTTAAATATGTTAAAATCTTCCTGTAGTGTTCAAAATGAGGGAGAAAGAAAATAGAATGAAGAATATGTTCAAAAGGAGTCCATTCCAAGTTTAATAAAGGAAATTTTATGGACTCTTTAAAAATGACATTTTAATTAGCCTTAAGTGGTTGTGGCAATATAAGGAAAGCAAAGTATCTGAAGGAAAGCTTCCAAGCATAGACATCTAGGATAACATTGCATTACATCCAAGTTCATTATTACTGTGCTTGTAGGATGTGTTAAATTACTGTATATTCTTATAATAAAAATCTACCCCTAAAAAGATATAATTACCATGAAGGTATTTATACAGTAAAGTGAAAACAGGAGAACCAGCAAAATACTCAAAAGGTGAGTTTTGAGCAGCTGGTGGGATCTGGGTGTAAGGAGAGGGAGAGGGCATTCCAGAGGCCAGCTTTGCAGAGGCAAAGATTCCGTACCAGAATAAGGAAACAACACAGATCTGGGGGTCAGTGGGAAATAGGACTGCGTTAAGTGAAATGGTCTAAAGCCCTTAATTATCAAAGTTAGGAGTAGGATGTGTCTATATATATCTTTAAAACACTTAGCGCTTAGGGACAAATACTGTTGTGGTTTACAGTAGGTGGTGTTTACAATACATTCTTGAAACTAATAAAAGACATGCTTTTTGTGTGTAAAATTATTCAAGATTTCTTGAAAACCATTCAGTGTACGTTGGCAAATAAGCATTTTCTCTTTTTCTAACTTGCTTAAGAGGCTTATTTATTACCACTATGAAGCCCATGATTTTTCTACTGTAGCACTCCTCTTGAAGGATGGTGTTCCTCAAAGAAGGTCTCAAGTAGAAGGCAGAATTTCAACTGTAATTTTAAGGACAGTTATAATAGAAACAAAATTGCTAAGCCCAGAAGTCCTTACCCAACCATAGCCTGTACTCAAAATGACCCACTTCAGTTCCATGTAAGGGAAGTGAGGACTATGTTCTAATTTCAAAAGAACCCTTTTGCACAATTAGCCTACACTATTCCCTTCAGTTTTCATCTAACTACACCAAGAATTCTCGTCTTCGGATCTAGACAACAGTAAAGGTTGTTGTCTTTGAAACTGGACGATCAGCGGGGAAAGTTTGCGTGTGAACTTTCTGAAAATAACACGTACGTAAGCAGCTGTGTCTGTCACACATCAGTCTCCAAAGACATCAGGTTCAAATTCACTTCTTCCCTGACGTCCTCCCTTTAACTACTTTTTCATTTTTTTGGTATGCTTTTTTCTTTTATTTCCCTTCTTAATGGATAAATGGCAAACAAATCCAGACGAATACAATATTTTAGGACATCAGTTTTAAAGAGCATTTATTTGTAATGTAATACTGCAGAAACACGCGGAAGAAAAGATGAGACTTCCACGCTGAATTCGCTTGCTGCCGGCCTGCTTTCGCTGGGTTGCCTGGACCGAGGCCCCAAGGCCTCCGGTCAGCCCTGCCGCCCCACCCGGGACACTGCCGCGGGGACAGCGACCCCAAGGGCTACCTGCTGCTCGGGGCGTTCGGAAGCAGCAGAGCGGTTCCTGGTCCTCCCCGTATCTGGGTCGCCGCCAGCCCTCGGCGGAGCCTCACGCGTCCCCAGTTCAGGCGCTTGCCAAGCCCACAGCGGCCACTTTTCCTCTTCCGGAAACTGGCCGTTTCCGGTGCCTGGGTTTGCGTCATCAGCCAGCGCCCGGGAGGCCCTTAGATTCCGAAGCACGCAGGCGTCTGCTGCCAGCAGAGGGGCCCTGCAGGAGCCACGGTCTGCGCTTTCCGGCGCCGCTATGCAGGTCTCCAGCCTCAACGAGGTGAAGATTTATAGCCTCAGCTGCGGCAAGTCGCTTCCTGAGGTGAGACACTTCGGGGTCTTCCCCGTGAGGCAGCCCCCCCCTCTCCGCGGCCTCTGTTTCAGCTAGGCCTTGGCCGGCCTCTGACTTGGGGGTCTCAGAGGCGAGTGACGGTTCCCCGGGGGGAGCTGGTCGGTGTTGGCATCGCCGCGCAGAAGCTGGGCCAAGGGTGGTCAGGGTCGGTGAGCTTTGCTTGACCTTTGACCAGTTCTCCAGAACAAGAGGACGCGCGTCCCTTGCTTGGGCTTATATGGATCTTCCCAGCCGCTGCCACACCGAGGTGGAAAAGCGTGGACAGAATGTTGACAGACATTTCTCTCCCGTTTTAATGCCCCTTCATCAGCTGTTTATTCCTATTATACGCCAAGTTCTAGAAATACAGTAGTAAGCAAGAGAAATACAGACTTTGCTTCTGCAGAATTTATGGTTTAGACGGCAGTATTTTTGAACCTTGCTGAACTTAACTTCATTGTCTTAGGACATCAGAAGGGGCTGAGAAAATCAGGGATTCTCTTCCAATCTTCTTGTCTAAAATCCAGCTAGAGTAAGGGAGACTTATACAGGATCACAGACCTAGGCTCTGAAGCGTCGTGTTTTCTCAGTCAAGTCTCTGTCCGAGCACTTAAAATGAGAGAAGACTTTTTTGCAGACTCTCATTTCCATTTTGAGAGTATGTGTTAGTGGTTTTACAACATGCCTGTTTATAGCATGCTGCTGTTGGTCTAAGTCCTTCCCTTGGAAATTAGAATTCATGTAGGTCCACTTTCATGTGTCTGTCTGCCCCTGAAAGATTTGGGGCTGACAATCAGATTCTTCCTTTTTTTTTTTTTTTTTTTTCCAGAATTGAGATTAGGCAATTCTTTGTCTTTCAGCTATTCTTAGACAGCATGATCTTTTTCCTTTTGTTCATTCTCCACATTTGTTGAGAAGTGACTGATGCAGGCAGCCCTGTCCTAAGTGTTGGGATAAATGGTGAACATATCAGATAAGTTTCCCTGTTGGGGACAAGGGTAAGTGAGCAAACCAGAACACTGCTTAAGATGGTAAGTGCTTTGAGTGATGTGTGACTAGAAGACAGCTGTTGTGGGTCACATGTTCAGAAAAAGTGTTTTGAACAAAGCCTTCAGGGAAGGACTCTCTCCAAGAGGTGACATTTGAGCAGAAACTTGGATGATGAAAAGGAACAAGTCATGTGAAGATATGGGGGAAGAGTTTTGAGTGCTGAGAAAAGAAAATGTAAATGTCCCCAAATGGGAATGCACCTAACATGTTGGAGAAATAGAAGGTGTGGCCATGGTACGCTGAATGAGGGGAGAAAGTGAGGGTCGTTAGGCTGGAGACGTGAGCCTTGTAGGCTAAGGTAGGAAGGTACAGTTTATTCCTAGTGCTGATGGAGGCCATTGTTGAGTTTTGAATGGGGTTGCTGTGTGGCAAATTACTGTAGCTGGGGAGAATGAGCAGGGGTGAGTTAGGTTGTCTGACCCAGCGACTTCGGTGGGTGAACCAGGATGGGATCAAAGGAGATGCTAAGACACTGCAGGAATCAGGATATATTTCGAAAGTAGGCTGGCTAATGGATTGGATGGTGGTGGGAAGGAGTTGAAAGGAAGAGATCAGGAAAGAATACTTTGATTTGGGATCTGAACAACTGAGTACATGATGTTGCTGTTAACTAAAGTGGAGAATTGAGCATTTGGGGCATGGGGAGGAGGAAGGTAGTGAGCCAAAAGGATTAAGTTTCATTTTTGGTTTTAAGTTCTCATAAACATGAAGTGGAAATATTGAGTAGACAGTCATGTGTATGCTAGTATGGTGATCTCTCAGAAACTTCTTTTAAAATGATTCTAACTTACCAACAAATTGCTTCTTTTGTTTTACTTAGTTCAAATGTAAGAATCAGTATTTTTTTTTCCTTTTCAACAATAGTGAGGTGCCTGTCCAGGGAGAGAATTAGGTCATCAGCATTTCCTAGCTCTGTTGCTAGGTTTCTCATTAAATTATTTGCCATGGTAAAGTGCCATTCTTCATTAGCTATGATTTTAGAATAGAGAGAGGGTGTCTGAAATTACTGACAACTTTCAGTTCTTTGTTGAACTTGTTTTAATTCTAGACCCTCTTGCTCCTGCACACGCTGACTCCTTGTTTTGTGTTCTTCCTGTAGTGTTGTCAGTACGTATAGAAACTCCTGAATGGACTTTCCTTCCTCCCCATTATCACTGTGTTAGAGAATTTCTGTCCTTTTAGGGACCCAGGCTCTGATTTAGAAGGAAATCTCAGTCTCCTCTCTTCTACCCCAAGCTCATTTGCTCAGGATATAGGAGTCTGGTTATTGTATGAACTGTCCCTTTCCTTACCATAGCTTCCTGAGAAGAGGACATTGAATCCCGTTAGAGAAGCCCTGGCAGAATCCCTGTGTTCTGCTTGTATTAGGTTGATGTGAAAGAATATATTGAGTACCTAGAAGTATGCTTTAGCAGTACCATTATTTGAAACATTACTGCCTAAAATAAAATCAGAGCAATGTAATCACAGAGACTAGCGTAAACCTGAAAATCAGTGCACTAAATACAAAGGCAGGAGGAAAGCTCTGGCTCAAACTCAGGCTCTTGAAAGTATTCCAAGTCTTCACATGTAGACACTGCCTCAGCAATCATTCTTAGGGTCGTGACTGGTGAGTCTGCATGGCCAGAGTCCTAAAGATACAGTGTCATGTGTTTAGGCTGTACATTAGGTTTGTGCTCTTAGGAATGACATCTGTTAATTTTTCTCTTGCTTTTGTTTCATTTGTTTGGGGTAGGCTTTCTTATCCTTGTCATTATTGATGTTTTAGGCTGGACAGTTCTTTATTGTGGGGTTGTCCTATGCATAATAGGATGTTCGGCAGCATCCCTGACCTCTACCCAATAGATGCAAGGAAACCTCCCCCAAGTTGTGACAACCGAATATATTTTTAGGAGTTGCCAAATGCCCTTTGGGGGGCAGAATTGCCCCTGGTTTAGAACCACTGCTTTAGGGTGATCATAGTTGCTGAGTACTTCATTGTTGGCACCTCTTCATGCGATGCAGTTATGCTGCCTGCTGAACTGAGGTACCTTAATTACAGACCATAATCTGGTATCCATGAGTATGATTTTTAAAAGTATGATTCCTTTATTATCAGGTGTCAGCTATTTGGTCAGTTTTATTCTTTATAAAAATATATTTCTTGAAGAAGCTTTCTCCTTGAAGTGTTTTGCTTTTGAAATAGTTGTTCTGTGTATTAATTATAACTCATAATATTTGAGGCTTAGTGCTTTCCACTAATATGTTTTCTCTTGTATAAAACATAGTAGTCCTAAAAATTTATTTTCTGTATATGTAAACATATCCAAGAAAAAAGTCCAGAGGTTATGCTAACAGAGTTAGGATTACAGAATATTTTCTCTTTCTATTTGAATGTATTCCTGTGAGGTTTCAGGTTTTTTTTATATGAGCAAATGTTTTATTTTTGTAAGCAGAAAAACAAAGTAAATATGTTTTAAAATAAAGTTTTCATTTTCTTTAAGTGGCTTTCTGACAGGAAGAAGAGAGCACTACAGAAAAAAGATGTCGGTGAGTATTATTTTTTCCCACTTCAGCTACATTTGGGATCCATGTTATAGTGCTTTCAATTGCTTAATGTTTCATATTTAAGTGCAGATTTACAAAAATACAGTGGAATTAATGTAGTGGAAAATAACCTTTGTGCCCTTTTCCTTCTTAGGAGAAATTTTGTGGTGGTCAGTATGTTCTTGGTGGGTGTGGGGTTTGATTCTACCTACTTACAACTAATAAGTTAGTCTGTTACTGTTTCATGGATGATAGCAAAGGACACGAAACTCCTGGGTCACAGACAAGGTCTCCATTACTCTTATAGCACAACAAATAGCGTGAGCATCAGCATATTGCTGTCAGTTCCCTTTGTCCCTAAGGCCCACGGGGGCACTCAACCTGGCCCAGATGGATGCTGTGCACACAGCAGGTTGTGTTGCGGCTGAAGGACACCGAGTTTGGGAAGTACACTGCTTTTATAGCAAGCAGTAAGCAAGCCTGATCTTTGTCCCCAGGAGATCTGTTACCTCGCCTGTCAAGGTTTCCAGTTGCATAAATAACCCTGTGAAATGGCTCAGGTAAAGGAGTGGCCAGGGCACTGCAGTCTTGCCATACCCAGCAAGATGTGCAGGAATGCAGGAGATCCAAGGAGGATGGTTCCATTTGCTTTGTTCTTCATTGTATCAAAATCTTTTCCCATTAGTTAACTCCATTTGTCAGTTTTTGATATATAGAGACAATGAGCATTTTCTTTCTGATCAGAGTAATTTTACATGCAGGTCATATGAACATGAGCAATAAAAGATCACTGTAGACGATTTTGATTCTTTAACTTATGGCAGCAGGGAAAATGAGAATGTAAGATAAGAATGAGAGATGATTTATCTTCCCATATATTTTGTTTAAATTATTTTCAAAAAACCAAAGACCTAAGATACTGAAGGAGTTTCTGGATGTGAGATAAATACTCCAAGGAAAGCATCTTAGAAAAGTAGGCTTTATGTAGTTAGTACTCACTCAGAAAGTGAAAACTTTACATTAAAAGAAAACAGAAATTGTTGCTTTCATAATGTTTACTGATTCTGATTTCTTCTGATTTCCTGCATTCCAGTCTAGTGTCCCAGTGTGTAAGAAAACAGATTCAGATTACTTAGAGGAACTCACTAATCAACTGTTTCTTCCACTCCATCTCAAAATTATCATGTGTTTCCAAACTGAGTGAGCCATTCCTACTCAGGTGGTTCGAATCTTATATTTGGGCTTAATAAACAAGACAGTAATGTGCCATAGAGTCTCACACAGTCCTTACGATAGGCATATTGTTATGACAGCAACCAGAGCAAATCTGCACTTTCAGTGTTAGTTTTGTGATCCAGAGAGGTAGCTCTAAGTTTTCCTCTAGTTTGGGTCCTCTTGGCTGCAGATCTGTGGCGCCAAAAGAGGCGAAAGTCAGCTTGGTTAGCAGTTACTTGCATAGAGTTAAGATGTTGAAGGTTTGGACTTGTTATTATTTAGGAGGAAAAAATGATAAGATTTTTGACTTACCATAAATGAGTAATGATGGTGGTTTAAAGTTTATTCTGTTCCCCCTTTATGCAGGGCATTTTTCTTTTCAATTAGTGATACTTTTTCCTTTTTAAAAAGTGAAAATAAAATACTTCTTAAAAAAGTAATGTATGAGCTAAGAAAAAGCCTTGCTCTTGCCCGGGCAGGGCCGAATCGGTGTGCTTTCCCGAGGTTCCGCGGCGCTGGGACACCGCTCTGCATCTTTGTCTGGCTATGGTAACGAATAAACACACGGTGGTTAAACCAGTTATTTATTTCCTCTTTTTGTAGATGTCCGTAGGAGAATTGAACTTATTCAGGATTTTGAAATGCCTACTGTTTGTACCACTATTAAGGTGTCAAAAGATGGACAGTATATTTTAGCAACTGGTAAGCATTGTTATGGTTATGATTTACATACATTTAACAACAGGGAAAGCTATGGTGGGAAAGGTCACACACATTGTATTACAAAAATTTCAAACATACAGAAATACTGGAAAAATTGTACAGTGAACATTCATTACTTGCCACATAGATTCTGTAACAGTTTGTTCTGCTTGCTTTATCATGTATCTCTCTGTCCATCTGTCAGTCCATTCTGTTTGTTGATGCATTTCAGAGCCAGTTGCAGATACTGGTGTGCTGCATACATCAGAATACACCCCTAAATACCTCAGCATGTGTATCATTAACAAGAGTTCAGTAATTTATTTATTTATATGACTTTTTTAACGTAAATTTACATACAGTGAAATGCATAGATTATAAGTATATCATATGAGAGTTTTGACAAATGCAAATACTTGTGTAGAACTAACCCCTATCAAGATACAGAACATTCCTTTTTAATATATATTCTGAACACATATATAAGAATATATATGTAAAGACTACATGTAGTTCTATTTTTATAATTATATATACTCTAAGCCATATGCTATAGAGCATATATAACATATAGTATACTATTAAATACATATATAAGTGCAAGTGAATACATATTCTATATTATGTCATATACTATTTTTAAATGAGATCTTGAACTTTGATCCATGTCTGTAAACATTGGATGACCTCATTCTTTTTAAAATATCTTTATTGGTTTTAAAAATCAGTCTTTTTCTTTTCCTTATTGCAATGATAAACTTACAAAAAATGCAAACATTACAGAAATGCCTAGGATGAGATATTAAAGGCCCTAAAATTTGCCCTTCACAGATGTAAATAATCACTGTGCTTATTCCTCCAACTGTTTCTGTACAAAGTACCATTATCATTGTTGTTTTACAAAAATGGGGTCATATTACCTGTACCATTCTGCAGTGCTTACCAGGGCTCTGTACGCCCTCTCTTTCATTTTCTAATACATTGTGCAGCTTTCCTTGTCAGTAATTACACGTCTATATCATCCTTTTGATGATATACCATCGTTTATTTAACCACTTCCCTATCGGTGGACATTGTATTTGCCTTCAACTTTTGGCCATTTTTAAACAACGCTGCAAGTATTCTTCATGTCTTTGGTACATTTGTGGGTGTGTTTCTGTAGGATAAATTTACGTAAGTTGAAATACAGATGAAAGATATATAAACATCATGTGTTTTACAAATATTGCTAGATTGTCCTCCAGAGAAGTTATAATGAATTAAACTAAAAGCCAGCAGTTTATGAGAGTACTTTCTTTTTAGCATCCTCACAACAGATTTTCATTTTTGCCATTCTGCTGGACAAAAACTATTTCATTTCTTTAATCTGCTTTGTTCTATTAGTTGTCAAGTTTATTATGTGTATTTCATTTTATGACTTGTTCTTTTATTTCCTTTGCTCATTTTCTCCTGGTGATGTTGGGGTAAAGCTGCTTTTAAATTCTTTTCCTTTGATATGGTTATAAGGAATCCTACTTAACCTCTGAACAGAAAGTGTACTACTCAATGTATCTACAGTTTGTCTTGTAGGTTTTACATCACAATTTTTTTTTATAGGAACATATAAACCTCGGGTTCGATGTTACGACACCTATCAATTATCTTTGAAGTTTGAAAGGTGTTTAGATTCAGAAGGTAAGTAAGAGGTTAACTTTGAATTTATGAAAATAACTGTTTGTGTTTGGCTACTTTCTGCTTTTTAAAATAAAGAATGGCTTGTGTATTCGGTTTCTTTGCTGTGTAACAAATTACCATAAACATGGCAGCTTAAAACACCCATTAGCTCACAGCTCTGTAAGTGAAGTCTCCCCAGGTCTGTTGTGTTCTGTGCTCAGGGCTGAACTCAGGGTGTCAGCCATGTGGGGCTCTTATCCAGAGGCTCTAGGCAAGAATCAACATCCAAATTTTCAGGTTGCTAGCAGAATGCAGTTCATTGTGCTTGTTCTGCTGCGGTGCCTTCTGCTCCTGGCTGTCAGCCTGGAGCCGTTCTCAGCTTATAGAGGCTGCTAGCCTTCCTCTTTGCCTGGTTCCTCCACCCTTAAGGGAACCACAGCTCCTCGAATTCTTTTTGTGTTTTAGATCTCTCTGACTGTCCCTTTTGCTGCCAACAGGAAAATACTCTGCTTTTAAAGGTCTCCTGAAATTCTAAATCTCCCTTTGCATGTATATAATGAAATCACTTGGGTGGTAGCTCTTCACATTCACAGATTCCACCCACACTCTCGAGAGGAAGGGACTGTATGAGGGGGAGGGGCAGTGGGGTCGTTCCTAGAAGTCTGCTTAGCTCAGAGGGCAGGTTGAAATGGGAAGGGCCAGGCATTTTTATCAGGTGGCCTTGTGTTCAATACTGAGAGAAAACAAGTTGAGGGGATACATATTTAACTAACTTTTTTATCTTTTCTTTTTAAAAACAGTATAAACTTCATGTGCTGCTAATAACTGTTTTCATTCTTTATTTTTGTTTAGCCAAGTATGCTATAAATGCGTAAAAAGTTGCTGTTACCTTTTTTTAAAGCAATGATTTTTCTAATGTTCTTTAATGTCTATTATTTTATTTTGAACACCTCAGAAAAACCATGGCCTAATTTAGAAATTATTATGTTTTGTGAATTGATGTACTTTTAATTTCAGTTCTGCAGAAAATCTGGTTGATTTGTATGAGAAATTATAAAGCTTTCAATTTTCCATGAAGTGTTTCAAGAACAATATAATATGACAACCTTGTTCTTGTATTGTATAGGGGCAAAGAAGGAAAAGAAAACCTAGCATTTGGATATAATTTTTGTGATGAGTTAGAATTTTTTTCATCAAGTTTTCATTTTTATTAAAAATGTGGACTGACAATTGTGTTTTTCCTCCTATTGTTTTTCAGTTCTCACTTTTGAAACTTTGTCTGATGACTATTCAAAGGTATGCTTGATAGCATTGATTTGTGCTGGCTATACTGAAGAAATGAGTGGAATTTATTTTTCTAAGTATTTTTATGATGTTCCCACTGTTAAATTAAAAATGGCTGTGTAGTAAAATAAAACCTGTTATTTTCTATTGTACATTCTTAATTTGACATATGTATAATACATAGTATCTTTTAAAACAATGGTGATAGAGACTTTGGCCAGTCTAATATCAAAATAAGTTCTCTATATCATATATGAAACCTTACCTGTATTTTTAAGAATTGGTAGTGGACATTGTTTTTAGATCATATTCAAGTCAAAATTTGTGATTTTCATTATTGCATTTAAACTGTTATTTGCTAGGTTGCTTTCATTTTCTTATTCAGTGTGCAAAGTAAAACAGCATTGTCATATGTTGAATTTTTTTAACCCTGCAAATAAATTGTTGTGGAACAGTTTTGAAACAATTGAAAACAGTTAAGTGTGTGTGTGTGTGTGTGTGTGTGTGTGTGTTTTCCTTTCATTCTTTCACTGGTGCCATTAGTCCATCTTCCAACTCTGTGGTCATATTATGTTTAGGAGATTGTCAGTAAAGTGCCTGAAAAATTTTTTAGTCATGTCAGATGTCAGTTTGAAGGAAAATTGAATTTTCTGAGCTGACATGGCTTTGTATATTGTCTGCAGTTCTGGAAACTGGAGTACAGTTTATCCTTTGCTTATGGTACATCTATCGTGTTTTGGGTCATATAATTTTACAATGTGTTTTCTCTAAATAGTGATAAATTTGCTTTTAAAGACCGCCTGCAGGTTTTTAAGATACCATTGTAATACATTAAAGTTAAACTTATAGAGGACTTTATCAAACCCTGTGTGATGATTGTGAGATTATTAAAATGTGTTCTTAAGTAAAAAAGGAAGTTACTCATCGAGGTAATGCAGCAGTGCTTAACATTTTAAAGTGCTTGCGCTGGATGATGAAGGGAATTTGTTTCAAGTCTTTTAGTTAAAGGGAAAGGTTTGCAGAAAAACTATCAAGGATGCAGGACGGCACTAAGAGACCAATGGAGAAGTCTGCTTCTTAATCAGTTCTTAATCATAATGGAGAGTTTTGTATTTACAGAAAGGAGGGTGAGAGAGGTCAGGTTTTCTTGCTTTGCATCTCTAGCTATGATAAAGTAACGCTTTACCTAGACACCTAAGCAAATTAATTTTCTTGTTTCATTTCCAGATTGTTTTCTTGCATAATGATAGATACATTGAATTTCATTCACAATCCGGTTTTTACTACAAAACCAGAATACCAAAGTACGGGAGAGATTTCTCTTACCATTATCCATCCTGCGACTTGTACTTCGTTGGCGCAAGGTATTTGACCTGATCGCTCTCCTTTCCACCTCCCAAACCACTTCCGGGTTTAAAACGGAGGGGAGGGATTAAAAGAAGAGACATGATCCCAGCCTTTCAGTTGCTTGAAGAGTGTTCAAAGTGACTGGTCATGGCGTGATTACACCCTGAACTTTGATTAGCACAGTGCTCTAACTCGAGAGAGACATGGGTAACGTACCTAAGAGCGTAGTATTGGTGGTGAGGTCACTTTTTTAGCTCCATTGCATAGCATTTAAGTTTTTTTATTCTTAAATCCTACCTTCTTTATGATTATAAAAATCATACCTGTACAGTTTAGAAAATTGGGAAAATAAAAATGTATAAAAAAGAAAAACAGCAGCTTACATATGTCACCCAGAGGAAATCCTTATTAGTATTTTACTGTACTTCCTTCTAGCCTTTTCCTATGTATACATATAGCTACATTTTGGATCTTACATTCTCCAGGATATTTTAAGTAATATTCTACTTAATGACTTCATAATATTTCCTTGGCACATGAGGTGGTTTAAGTTACTGTTATATATGAACAAACTCACAAGTAAAAAATGATTATTTTTTGAGTTTCGAATACATTTTGGTATCAGTTTTACAAAGGGCAGTGATATCTTATGAGTGATAATATGTTTGTATATATACATATATATATCTATAAAAATTATATTTACTTTAAGAAAAGTTCATTGTAGTTTACCAGATGTTTAATTCTATTCATTGCTTTTCAGCTCTGAAGTTTATAGATTAAATTTAGAGCGAGGACAGTACCTGAATCCTCTGCAAACTGATGCTGCGTAAGTATTTGTTTTAAGAATACTGTTATATTTATTTTGGCCAGGAGATGGAGCCAGATACTCAACCTGCTGTTAGCATGCGTTGCATTCAAGCACAGCTCTGGGCAACTTAAAAGTACTGTTAAGTTTTCTTTAAAAAATTCACTAAGAGACCCGGTGATTTCTTAAGAAATTTAATTCAAAAAATATATATATACTAAAAAAATCTAAAACTAACTAAAAATTTCAGTTTATTAATATTTTTTGCTGTTAAAATTTTCATTCATGATTTTGTTTTGTGATATTTTCTCTTGTGGAGAAATTTTAAATCAAATGAGTACCATTTTCAAATTTGTATTTTTTACATTTTTGTTAGTAGACATTTAAGGTTTTTTCAAGTCTTCCTTTTATCATACATTATAGGCTACACTTTTGTTCAAAGAGAAATCCTCTGGGACTTAATCTGTCATAATAATAATGTTGAGTAATAACCACAATAGTGGAAACCCTTACTGTGCACCAGACATTATTGTATTTAATATATACATATATAAATTCATTTTAAACTTACAACACATTTTTACAATAGATATACTACTATCTCCATTTTACAGATAGGGCTGCTCAGAGAGGGAAAGTAGTTTGTTCAAGGCCACACAGTTAGTGAGGGGTAGCAGTTGGATTACTTCTCATCTGTGTGTATAAAGATCTGTCGGTTTTTCCTTACTGCTTTGAGAGGGTTTTTTAAAGTTGGAAGAACATGTAGTGATTAAAACCAGGTAAAGTCCTGATTTTTTTTTATTGGCTTTGAAATGCTCTGATTTTCTTAAAAAAAAATTACAGTAACTTCATGATGCATTGTTGAATGACCAAAAGTCATCTGCTCTTCAGCTCCCTCATTTCTTATATATATTCTATAAGATAACATTTATTGAGTGTCTTGTGTACTCCGGACACTGTGTTGAACATTTTGTAGCTTTTCATTTAATTCTCCCACCACCCAAATGAGGTAGGTGAAGTATCCATTTTACAGAAAAGGAAAGGAGGCTTAAATTAGGATACCCAACCCATGTTAGTCAGGTGTCCAGAATATCATAGTTGCCATCTATGTTCTTTTTGCCTTGGCGAAAATATGCTGAGAAAGCAGAATGAACCTTTGTTCTTGTGGTGGTGAAATAGTATTTCAGAAGGAAGTCCTTCCTTGTCTCATTCCCTGGCAGATAGAGTGTCACCCTGGGCATCAGCAGCTTTCGGTCACTGTGTGCCAAGCACTTAGCCCTTCCATGCCTGAGTTTTTCATATGTAGATGAGTGAGAGAGAATCTGCATCTTTCTTCTCCACAGAATTGGGCTGAGTGCTAGAAAGTTAATATCGACTGTTCTGCCCTGCTAAAATAGATGCTAATATTTTCTCCCTTATTGCTTTACTCTTTTAGGGAGAATAATGTTTGTGACATAAATTCAGTTCATGGCTTGTTTGCCACAGGAACAATAGAGGTAAGCATACATTGACTTTATTTTTTTAAATGTTTGTTTGACGTTTGATAATGACCAAAGTTTTGTTTAAAGACACAGTTGCTTGTTTCTTAAGAGTGGGGTGGTCATGAAGCAACAAGCCACCGATTTGCTTTTTGCAAGGACCATTAGTATTGTTACACACAAAGACATAGCTGTTTCTTTGCTGTAGACTGTGCCCGATTACACGTCTGATTGGCACGTGTTGACATTGACCATCAGGAGCTAGCTGCAAAGTCGCTGCTGAATCACTGGCCTAGGAAAGCAGTGTGATGGCCAGTCTTATTCTTAACAGGAGGCAATATGTCACGGAGTCTTAGCTCTCTGCTGCTTAATAGTTTTATGACTGAATTACTTCCCCTGAGGCTTAGTTTCCTCTTTGGTAAAATGGAAATAATCATACCTACCTTGCCAACTTCATAGAGGTACTAGTGAGAATCACATGAAACAACCTACATGAAAACAAGCTGTAAAGGCACATAGGATCATTTTTTGTACATCCTGTTGAGTAGCATTTAATAAATACACATTTTACTTTTAAACTGCAATACCTTTGAATCAGTGTCCTTCATACTTGTCAAGAATTTTTCTAGCTTTTATAATACTTTTTTAAATTACAATAATGCTAAACACTCATAGCTTTAAAAAAAGCAAATATGTCAGAAGAGTATTATTAAAAAAGTGTCCTCTCACACATTCCAGTCACCAGGTCCTGCCTCCCAGAGGTAACTCTGTTAATAGTTCACAGTATTATCCCATGGGTTTTTTCTGTGTATATGCAGATATGCATATGTATTAGTAGTATTTTTTTTTTAGTTTTTTACAAAATTGAAATTATACAGTGGTTCTCCATTTGCTCTTTTTTTTAATGTAACAGTGAGAAGTACATCTTTATACATTGCTATTTATGATTACTTAAAATGCTAAACTAATTTCTAAAAACTGATGATAAGTTAGGATTCCATTATTGGAATGCACTATAAGTTATTCAAGTAATCCCACGTGGATGAAATTTAGGTCTCTACTCAGGATTTGAAATGGGACACATGGGATTGATTTAATGGAACTCTGTAAAGCTGTGTTAATATGTTACAATACTATTAGGCTTAAATCAGGCCAGTCGAAGCAATCTCTTGGTAACTATTCTTGAGATAACCGAGGGGAAGTTTTAAAATAGTTTTTATATAGACTCCTTATAAAACATTCTAGGCTAGATACCAGGAAACGTGCTTGTAAGAGAAGTTATGTATTTAGAGCAGGCTGTTCTCAACAGCTGTTTTAAAACCAGTCCCGAGACATGTTGGGGGTGGGGAGTCCCCTTCCAGCCCAAAGACTGAGGTTCCTGAAATTCCCTGGTTATTGGGGGGTCTTGAAATTTGATATGCACAGTCAGACTTTAAAATCATTTTTACATTAATTTTGACATTATATGGTGGATTTTGATATTTCTGTGACTGTTACTATAATAGTACTTACTGTTGTCAAAATCAGGCTGTGAGGGTTTGGGTTTTTGTGCTTTTTGAAGTACATAAAAGTATAGGCTTTAGCAATAGAAATACTCAAATTTAGGTCACAGAAAATCAGTATGGTTAAAAAAACCATTTTGTATTTACTCTGTATGTGCATACCCATTTTTTGTTTTTGAAATGTGATTTTTCTTTCTTATGTCCATAAAGTCTATTAACTCATTTTAAGAAGACATAGAAGACGAGGTCATTTGTAATTAGCCGATGCATGATTCATAAGACTTCTCTTCCTTTATCTTTGTAACAGATACATTTGTAATAATTTTAAATGATTACTGAGATCCAGCTTTCTAAGTCTACCCAAGATTTGTTTTTAAGATGGTTAATATAATAAACAGTTTTTAAAAGTCTTTGTGTTTGTTTTTCATTATTACAAAATCAAACAATACAGAAGAGTAAAAGGAAGTGTAGCCCCGTCTGCCCTACTTCATTCCTGTTTCCTTAGGAAAATGATGCTAATAATTTCTTCTTTGTTCACTCAGAGGTTTTTCTGTCTTTGTACAGGCATTTTTTGAAAAAGACAGTGATACTATTTTTTAAAATAAACTGCCCTTTTATGGAGTAGATTGTGGACCTATTTCTAATCCATATAGTCTGTCATTCTTTTTCATGACTGTATTGTGTTCTGTTAAACAGATTATGTTCTTGCTCCGTTGCTCTATAGCTTGCAGTTCTGTTCTCATTTTTTAGCTTTCTTTTCCCCCAGCTTTTTATTCTTAAAAAATTCACACCTTCTGAATAGTTGAAAACATAGTTCACTAATATACATTTTGCACATTTGCTTTCTTTTTCTATAAAAATTGTGTGTATATAAAATAATCTTTTTGAACCATTTGAAGCATTTGAAATGTTATAGACATGACATTTTAGCACTAAATACTTCTGAAATGTTTTTCTTAAAAGCAAGGACTTTTTCTATAAAATCATAGCACATTATCATTCCTAAGAAGTTTAACATTGATAGACTAATATTACATGTTAAATATTGAACATTGATGCAATAATAGTTACGTATTTAAATTTCCCCAGTTATACCAAAAAGTCTTTTGTAGTGCCTCCTGCCTCCACCACCAATCAGACCAATGTCCAATTCAGGATCATGCGTTGCATTTTGTATCTTTCTTCCTAACCAGTTTTTTTCTTTTTTTAAAAAATTTTAAGATAAATTCAGCTCGTGGTAAAATACTAAATAGTACTAAAAAAGGTATAAGGTAAAAAGTTAAATTCCTCTTCCTCATGAGGTAATCAGTGTTAATAAGGCTTTGTTTAGTGTTTGTCAAAAAATATCCTAGCAGCAGCTCTTACCTGTAATTGCTGCATTTTGGTTTAGGGCCGAGTGGAGTGCTGGGACCCAAGAACGCGACACCGAGTTGGCCTCCTTGACTGTGCGCTGAGTAGCGTCCCAGCAGATGCCGAGTAAGTGGAAAGTAATTTGCAGTTTAGATATTCATCAGTTTCTGAATTAAACAAATATATCAGTAGTAAATTAAAGTCAATTGCAAAAGGGTGAAATTCTTAAGATTTGTATCTGAGGTTGTAGTTTTTGTGATTATTTTATGTAAAAACCGCTTCCATGTAATAACTCACTAAGGGGGTAAGCCAGATAGATTCCTTTCTAGAGTACTACATAGAATGCCTTATTTAGTACTATATAGAATGCCTTATTTAGTTGCCATGGAATTTTATTAAAACAAATATACTGCAGGAATTTACATTTCAGTTCTGTAGGATCTAGTGATAGATCCAGGAGTCTACCACTCCAAACAACAGAAAGATGTGCTTTGAATTCTTAAGGTGGAGGAAAGCAAGTGTTTTTGATATTTCTTGTTGTTTGCCAATTCCTACATTTAAAACAATTAGAAAAGTAATACATACTTGGAGGATGAAAACCTCTAAAAGCTTGAGTTAAATAAAAATCTAGACCCCTGTCCTTTCCCCACTCACCAGAGTAGTTACTGTTGCACTGTTTGGTACATATGTTTTCAGACATGTTTCTATGCTCATAGAAACACATATGCAGACTTACCACCGTCTTGGTCAGAACCTTGTCGTGGGATTATTTGCTGTAATCAGTTGAGGAACACCCTTTCTCTGGGCTTTCGGTATTCATAGTAATAAGATTTTACTAGCATTTACTCATCTCAGTTGGTCAGACATTTATCTGTATTTGTATCCTATAGGAGGTGGAGTGTTTGATGGGCGGGGCTACAGAGCAGCTATGAACCCTCTGAATTACTGCAGAATTTTGTGTGATTTGCATTTTTCTAGGGGGAGAGAGGAATTCATACAGTTCTTTCTTTTGAAAAGTCAGCCTATGTAATGCATGCTTAACCTAGAAAAAAAGAGTCACTCAGTTGGGAAGACATCTCTGTCTAATATATAAATTTTTCCCTATGTGATAAGTAGAGAAAAAATTTATTTTTTTCATCTTTCAATTATGACATTCAAAGCGAATATAGGGAATTTTTATTGAAGTAATACTAGTAGTAACTTCATTAGTCATGGTATGGAATATAGTGTATTAAAGAATTTTAAAGGGAAAATTCACTCATTCTACATTTGTTTTGGTTTTAGAATTAGACATTTTTATTGTGAAACATAGTACACATAACAGAAAACCTCAAAACATGAAGGTACAGACTACTGAAATATGAACCTCTGCATTTGTTAATCAAATAAACCAATGGAAAATGCTTCTCAGTGTTTCATCATATTGGCATGAAAGAAAACAAATCAGGAAGCTATTTATTTTTAGAAAGTAGAAAATCAATTACTAGTCAAAGATAATTACCCATTCCCTAGGAAGCAGAGAGGCTAATTTTCTTACTCTTAAACATATCTGTGAATTGAAAGAAACAGACTTGGATTCTAGTACAAGTGCTGTTATTTACTTTTTCATCTTGAGAAAAGCATTTAAGGAAACAGACCAGCAGGAGTTATTTGCAATATGTCTTAAGGCTGTTTCTACTTTAAGTTTAATGACTGAGATAGAAATAATATTATAGAAAATTTAAGGGATGGATGTGAAAACACAATTAATTGTGGTCCTTAGAAACATGGGAGTTTTGATTGTTTTTTTAAAAAAAATGGAATATTGATTCACAAACATTTTTTAGCGGCCTCTTTTGTCCTTGGGGGTAAGGTGTTTTTCAGCTGTCACACTGAAGGTTATTTTATGTAAAAATAAATTTGTTATTTTGTAAAACTGATTTATACTTAATATAAGAAGATACAACCCAGTTTCAAAAATACATAAAAGAAACCTAAAATGACCTCTGCATACAATTGGGCAGGTTTTAAGTAACTAGGCCTCTCTTGGTACATGAGGAATGTTTATCATTTTTTACTATTATACATCCATTTACCATTCTTTGATTGTTTCCTGAGAAAAAATATCAAGAGTCTGAATTTTTGGGTTAAACACCATCCATATTTTTAAGGCTTTTGGTACCTATTGCTAGATTGCCAGACAGAAAAGGTAGCATCTCTACCCGCATGACAGAGTGTGTGTTCCCCTGCCCTCTGTATCCCAACATCCATCACATGTTAATAGTACTAAAATGTCAGAAAGAGGTGAGGACATCAATTAAATACCACGTGGCAGAAATAATAGCTAACAGGCGCAAAGCTCAGAGAGGACACCAGTACTTTCTGTTGGCTAGATAGAGCCCTAAGGTCCTTACATATTTTAACTTAAAGCTACAGCAGCCACCTTTGGTGTAGGTACTGCGACTGCATTTGTTTTACAGATGAGGAAATAGTGACCAATGGCATACATAAGCCTCTAAGAAGTATGTTGCAGACACCTATTTATTTTTAGGGAAAGATGTTCCTAATGTTCTGTTAAGTGGAAAAGCAAACCATAAAGAAGATCAGCATATGGAGTTTTATCACATTTTCATAAGAAAAACAACAAACGTGTGTATATTCAAAGGCAAAAAATCTGAGTGTGTCCAAAATGTTAAAAGTGGTTCAGCAGGCTGATTCAGTTTCAGATGATTTTTCATACTTAAAATTTTGTGCTTAGTTTTATCTTTGCCTACACAAACAGTATAAGCTATTACCTCTGTTATTTGACAGAGGTGGAGTTCTGGAAGGTGGAGTCACTATGATAAGAAGAGATACATGCATATATTGGAGAGGAGAGGACAGGCTATCATTATTTGCAGATGATATGATTGTCTGCCTGAGAAATTCAGTAGAATCAAGTAGAAAACCATAAGAACTAACTAATATGAGAGTTAATTATTTGGTTACAAAACAAATGGGCAAATCAATGGCTTTGATACTAACTGGCAATATCCAGTCAGAAAGATAAAGTGGTAAACATTTCTCAGTTATAACAACCAGAAAATACTGAGAAATAAACTTAATAAATACATATCTGAAGGAAATCACATTTTATTAAGAAAAAAAAAGCTTGAATAAGTGAAGAAAAGTAGTGTACTGCACTGAAAAATGATAGAGTTCATTTGGAAGAGTAAATGACTAAAAATCATGTGCAGGAGGTTCCACCTGATGCATCAGTGTAGTTACTGGCTGAGGCTTTAGGTGGCAGGAGAGACTTGAGGATGTTAACAGTCGGCCTGGATGGGACGTAGGGCCTGGTCCACGGACACACAGACGATAGGTGTTGAAATCAGTCTTGTCCACTCTGTCTGTTGTCTTGCACCCTTCAACATTGCTTTTGGTGTCGATACTTTTGGTGGCTGAGTGAGAAGCATAGTCTGGGTTCACAGCCATAACCGTTCATCATTCTGTCTTTGTACTTGTAGAAGTTCTAGGGCCCCCCTTAGGGATTAGTCTTTTGTTTGAACTTGACATAGCTAACTTTAAAAATGTAAATGGGGGGGAAAATGGAAATGGGTATACCCATACCTGAATATAAAATTGTTTCCTCTTAAGCAAAAAGGGATGTTACCTTATCTTTATCCTTGGCTAACTAAAAGGAAATATATGGCATACTGATCCTTTTCAATTGATTTTATATTTTCAGAAATTCTTATTTGTAGCTTCTTTCAGAATATTTATTATAGTTTTTGAGGAAAATAAATCTACAGATTTTTTAAAGTATATTACTTTTTAAAAGTAGATTTACTTTATATATGTAAAGCTTATTTTTTATCTTGATGAAGAAAACTTGGATGCAATTACCTTTTAAACAGAAACCTAGAAATATGATTTCTCCCCATTAGAATTGAAGATTAATGATGAATTCGTTACTTGGAGGGAGGTTTGTCCATATATGCATGGAACATGAATATTTTGCTTTTCAGGATAAACAGTTTACCAACAATCTCTGCTTTGAAGTTTAATGGTGCCTTAACCATGGCAGTTGGAACATCTACAGGGCAGGTAAATACGGTTTTGGAAACTTCACTTAATTAGTATTTCAGAGGTGTGTATGTATCATGGGAAACATCCATATACCTTTGTACTGTGGGGGTGGGAAAGGAGGCATTGCTGTTTTGGCCACGGTGGAGGGGGCACTCCAGAATCCTGTATTGTGTTAGTACCTTGAGAAATTATGATTTGGATCTTAATGGTTGTTCTGAGAGGCTCTCAGTCTAGAGTTAACAGCAGCATTCTCTGGACTGTGTTTTAGAAGAATGTTTCCAGAGAGTGTGTAAAAGAGTTCTGTGGTCAAAAAAGGGGAATTCTGTTGGATTCCTACTCTTAGAAATGCACAGTATACTTAAATATATATTGAAGGCTGTGAGAATTCCTGTAGACAAGATATGTGTTTAATAAGTGTTTATAAAATTTGTTTGTTCAAAGAACCTTTTTTTCATGTAGTACCATTAACCAAACCCCGCGGAGTGAGCGCTCAGCGGAACATACCTTAGCAATGCTGGTCTGAGGAGGGCAAATGAAAGAGCTCCGGAGGCTTAATTTCATCTTTCTTTCTGCTTTCCTTCAAGGCAGAACCCACATACTTGTTAATTTTGCTGTTCCCCAGAGCAGGTCCAAGACTGTTTCCAGTAGTCAGTACCTCTGTCATCACGGTCTAGAGACAGTCTGTCATCGGGACCCTTGCCAGCACCATCTGTCTGCCTTGTACTCCCAGGACTGTCTGCATTATGCCTTTCATTCTGGTTTCTATCCACTTACTGGGAGAGTGCCTGGTGGATAGTAGGCCCTCTGTATGTATTTGTTGAATTAACAAATGACACACATTCTGATGGCCTTCCTTTTGTTTCTTAGTATAGCTTAGTGGTTATACTAAGATAACTCAATCTTAGCGTGCCTAAAAATTACTCCTAGGGTTCAATTTATAAAACCATGTATTTTAGGGTGATTTAAAAGATTTTTCTAGAGTATTTTTGCTGGCTGACTTCAGAATCTTTGTACCATAAGTAGTAAAGGTGTTCACTGTGTTTATAAAAAGGTAATGAAACAAATGGCAGCCTTTATTCTAAATTTTCAGTGTTTCTTTTTGAGATAAAATATTTAGTTCGTTTAAATAGAAATAACTTGTTTTGTTTCTTTTAGGTCTTACTATATGATCTTCGATCTGATAAGCCATTGCTAGTTAAGGATCACCAGTATGGACTGCCCATTAAGTCAGTTCATTTCCAGGATTCATTAGATTTGATTTTGTCTGCAGATTCTCGAATTATCAAAATGTGGAATAAGAACTCAGTACGTATGTTTTATTGAAATTACTTACCTATTTGTGTATTTTCCTAGTGTTTCTTTCTGTTGCCTTTTTGAATTATGTGGGTACTTGAGAAAGAGGTACTAAGTACCCATTTGGGAGCTCAGTGGAAGTCATTTGCTTCAAGATGCGTAACGCTCATACTTAGAGGAAGCAGGCAAGATTGCTGCCTGCTGTAGAAAAGTGTTCCTGATTTGCCCGCCGGCTTGCCTTCCTTCTCGTCCAGGTGGGCAGAGGGTAAACCAGGGTTTGAGAACGGTGATCCCTGGGAAACCCCGAGCTGCTGAAGCTCACGCCTGTTGCATACTGTAGGGTAGTTTTATGAGCTGCAGATTCTTTCCATGTCGGCACCGTTGTGCATCTCAGTACTTTCTCCCCATCTCACACAATTAGATTTTAGAAAGAGACCTTTACTGTAATGTCTTACAGCGTTTTTCTTAATTTCTTTAAAAAATTTTTTTCTTAAGAATATTTGATGTTCTGTCCCCTCAACTCCAAGTGTCATTTAAAAAGTAACAAGATTCTATATTGCTGGTTTTAGTCGCCTTCTCTTCTCCATTTTTCATTTTAAAAGCTAAGTATTTTGAGACAGTAGTAAAAGGTTGGTTCATCAACTGAATGGGCAGAACTTCCTTCATTGCTTTTAAGGTTTCTTTGTGCATTTAATTGATTGCAAACGTACCATCTTAGTTAGAAAGTGTCACTTTTTAAAAAAAATGCATTTTTGAGATGAACAAGGTGGAGGGTCCCGTGGCCTCAGCATCGGTTGCCAAAAGGGAGGCATCAGCCCTTCCCGTGGGCGCTGCCTGTGCTGAGGACAGCGGTGCCTCATCACACATGGGCTCCCTACCAGACTCCTGGCTGCATGGACCATTACTTTGTGTTGGATTCTCATTTCATTGCTCTCACAGTACTGACCTTTACTTATCTTACCTTTTTTCCCTCTGGATCTGTTGTGGAAACTCAAGAGTTATCCCCGAGGGGTGTTCTGCCACTCATGCCCTATTACCTTCACAGCCCCTGTGACTGTTGAGGAGAAGAGAAGGGTTTCCAGTTTTTCTCACTTCTTAGGAGAATCACTGATTATTGCCCAGAAATCACTATGCTGCTTGCATTTGTTGGCTTTGAATTGGGAGGGTCTGGAGGGCTTTCTTAGGAAGATTCAGTTGTGTCTTAGGCCAGAATTTTCTCTGCTCTTTTTTTAATAATCCTAACTAATTACTTTAAAACAAAATTTTTAATGCTACAAGTGCAGGCATTTTATATTTTCTAATTCATGCAATACTGGTAAAGCAGAAGTTAGCCTTCGCCTGGCTTCCATCCTACCTAAAGGTAATGACTCCTCCCAGAACTTTAAACTGCTACCATTTTCCATTCTGTGGATTTCTGTGAACTGTGGTGCCTTTTCTGTTTTGTTCCATGCTATTATAGTCCCTTTTTCCCCCTTTCTTTTTTCTTCCTTCTTTCCTTTCTCAGTGGCAACTTTAGATGAAGGAAGGTAGCTGTGAATTTCACTGGTTGTCTGGAATTAGAACTGGGCCACTGTTCTTCATTCAGCGTGAAATAGCCAGCGTCCCTGGGTTCTGACTGCACCCCGCTCGCTTTGCCGGTGGGAGCCTCTAAGTAAGGGCTTAATGCACCCAAGAGCTGCAGACATTTTCATTATTGTACTTGAAATCTTGGTTGTGCAGTTCGTGCAGTGTCTCATTCTGGCTCTGTCGTGACGACCGCATCTGCCCTCTCGGCCGGCATTCCCGTGGCTCGGTTTTCCTGGACTTGCTGTCCTTGTTGATCTCCCTCATCACTTTCTTCCCCCATCTTCCTGTCTCCTTTTTTCTTTACTTTCCTTCCTTTACTTTTTTTTTAAATTAGCACACTTTCCCCACATTTAAAATAAAAATGTTTGGGCCTTAGCTGTGTAATGACTAACACAGTTGTTCATAGGATTTGGTAAGTCATTGTATATCCAGTATCTTATTTGACCCTCCCAAACCCTGTGCTGTAGGCATGCAGACAGTGTCTCCGTGTCACCACATGGACCAGTGTCCTTCTTTGAGTACAAGTTTAACTAGGATGTATTTTCCAGATTATAAAAAGTTTTTAAAGTTGATGTGCAACTTTATTTCAAACTTTACCCTTTTCTGTTGTGTAGATGTTATCTTTAAAACTTTGTATTTATTTTCTTGGCTCCATCACCTCTCCCCACTGGGCCTCAGTTTCTTCATTTCCAAAATGAGAGCATTTGATAAATTGATAAAATTAATTTGCTAAGATTTTTTAAACTTAAATTCTGTGATTTCAATTAGGTAATTGCATTTCTTTACTTAGTAGTGTGTGGTTGTAGTTATGTTTCCAGTTCCTTTATGTGACATTGACAAAAGTTATCTTTCTTTAACTATTTTAATAATTTTTTGCTTATTACTCTTTTAGGGAAAAATATTTACTTCCTTGGAGCCGGAACATGACATTAATGATGTCTGCCTCTATCCTAACTCAGGTATGCAGTATGTGGCAATGGGTTATTCAGTAAGGCAGAGCTAAGCTATGCTTTATTGGGCTTAAAGCTCATTTTATTTCTTAAGACAGGGTTTGTCTTGGTCAGGACAATTCTTAGATACTGTATTGAATCAAGAGCAGGAAGTGGTAGGGATGATTCAGAAAATGGCACTCTCAGTGACTCAGTCCTCAGCCAGCCTAGCTATTAGTAGAAACTGGTAGCTGTATTTAGGTAGCTGGCAGGTGAGATGCTATTTTAGTGTGCTCCTTAGCTGTTTTATGTGATTAGTAATAGTGTGTGGAAATAGAGGCTAGGGTTTGGAGAAGCCATGGGTTTGGGTATACTCTATGTTGTGTGCTGGTTAGCAAACTCCATGTCAGATTTCAAGACTTAGCAGTACCTTCAAGGCCAGTCTGGAACGCTTTTGGGTGGGACATAAGAGAAAAAGAGAACAGTTCCCACTCTCAAGCAGTATCTGTCTGGAGGACAGACAGATACAGGTATTTTTGATAGAGGGATAGAAGGGACAGCAGAAAGAGTTCTGTTATGTGTGTACAAACAGCACACAGACCACATGTTAGGGAGGTTGCAGCCAAAGCAAGTAGAGGAGGTCATCAGTAAGGCTGGTGTTACGTAGAGTTTGGAGTGGTCAGTGAGATTTGATAGGTGGGGTTGGGAGGTGAGGGGATGCGTGCCCGGGAACAGTGCAGGAAGAGCAGGCCTGGAGGGCAGGACACAGTGCGGTGCCGTAGGCTCCGGGGGGCTTGTTCGGGGAAGGGAGGAGGCTCCCTGCTGGAGCCGGGGTGGCTCTGGGAGGGATGGAGTGGGACGTACGTGGTGGAGGTCCAGGCATGACATGTGAATGTTTTGGGCTCTGTGGTCAGGCTGTGCTCTCAGAAGGCAGTTGTGTCCATCATGTAAAGGGTAAATTGGTTTTGAACTAAAATGAGTGGAAAGTGATACTCTGAGCTGAGATTGGGAGCACGAGAGAGAGAGAGCAGATTTGGAGAGAAGGATGTTTTCTTTTTGAACAGTTGAATAGTGGGAGGTGATGGAACAGTGGCAGTGTCTGGCAGAGGGTTTCAAACCTGGTTGCCCGTCAGTAGCCCCTGGGAAGCTCTTTAAAAAGCACAGATCATGTGGTCCTATCCCAGGTGTACTCAGAGTGCCCAGTGGGGGGGGTGGGGGGCAGAAATATGTATTTTAATGCTCTTCCAAGTGACTGTGAAGCCCAGCCCTGACCCACAGCCTTGCATTGGGAGCCATGTCCAGTGTGTATTAGAAAGCATGGCCTTGAGATGAGCAGATCTCGGGTAAAAATTTCTAAGGCCTGTAACTGGAAGTTATCCATCCCAGCAGAAGCAGGAGGGAATGAGATCAGTGATGGGGAAGTATGGGGAGACAGGAAGAGGGCAGGACCTCAGTTCATCTAGAGGGAGAATGAGGAGAAGGAAGAGCCAGCTGAAAAACACATTAGGAATGAACAGAATGACAGGAAAAGATCCAACAATTCTTAAAGCAGAAGAGAAGCTAAGAGAAGCCATTCAGAGGGCACTGCTTGGCAAGTATTAGGTCCTGTCGCAGTTAAGACAGAAAGGAGAGAACTCAAGAGTTACTAGATGCTTCTTTGCTGTCAGTCTAAGTTATGTCATTAATCTCTTTATAATCCTGTGTAGTGAGGGCACACACATTTGTCTTTTCTGTCTTTCTTAGATCTTAGGTAAGAAAAATTAGGTAATTTTCCTGGGGTTAGTCGCCCAGCAGGGGTTTGGCAGAGCCTCGGTCAGAGCCAGCCTTTACTGACCCTGGAGCCCCTGCTCTTTCTGGTCACATGCTCCTCTCCCCAGAAAGATGAGAAACTCGGGTTCTTTGTGATGAGCTTTTTCATCTGTGATAGTTGAGAGAGTTTTACTAGGATTGTGTGGGGTGAGTTCAGGAATTCCTTGCAAATGGGAAAGCTGGGGTCCCCAGGGTGTATTGAATGGTCTAAAATGCTCTGGGCTACGTATAAAGATGAGTGCAACCAGGTGGACTTGACCTTGGAACAGGAGTAATGAGCAGGTTAGCTGGATGGACGGAGGGAGTTTGAAGGGTGGCAGATAGTGATAAGAGAAAGAAGTGCTTGACCTGTGCTGTCCACTTTGGTAGCCAGCAGCTGTCTATCTGGCCATTGCAAACTTGCAGTGTGACTGACCTGAGTTGAGTTGTGCTCTAAGTATAAAATATACACCAGAGTTCAGACACCATACCAAAAAAGAATGTGAAGTAAATCATTAATTTTTTATATTGATTACATATTGAAATAAAAATATTTTGTACTTACACTGGGTTAATAAAATATATTAAAATTAATTTTATCTGTTTCTTTTTATTACTTTTAAATGTGTCTACTAGACGATTTTAAGTCACATGTGGCTTGCATGCTCTTTCTGTTCAACATCTCAATTTGGAACTCTTTAGCAGGTGAGGGCACCGATGTGGTGCAGGGTGTAAAAGTCACTGCAGGCCTGGCGGTACTTCCCTCAGCCAAGAGCAGCGCTGATCTTGTAGAGGAGAGATGTCCTTCTAGGGGAGTACCGTTACCCTACTGATAAAAGGCATCCCCGAGTATCAATCACATCCAGTCCATGCACATTTCCCTCATTATCCCTTAAATGCCTTTTGTAGCCCAATTTTTTGAACCAGCATATAATCAAAGTTGTGTGTTACATTTAATTATTATGTGTCTTTAGTTTGTTTTGATCACAATAGTCCACCTATCTTTTTCTTCTCCACAACACAGACTGTTCCAAGATCAGGTTGATAGTCTCATAGACTGTCCCCCTTTCTGGATTTATGTGAAGATTTTTCATCATCTCATCTAACTGGCTCCTCCAGCCCTTATATTTTCTAAAATAGAAGTTAAATCTAATGGCTTGATGCACTTGAGGTTAAATATTCTGGACAAGAGCACAGCCGAGTTCTCCACCATTAGGTCGCATCCCGCAGTCATCCGCCTGCCAGTGAGGAGGAGGGTGGGCACTGTTAGGCTGACCACCAGATCTCCTCATTGCAAAGTACACTTTCATGATAGGTAAAAATTTTAACAGTGATGTTTTGGACAGAGGATGGACTTTACTGTTGGCTTTACAGATGGCTTGTAAGAGGTTAATCAGACACAAAACCAGCCTGGTAATTCATTCCAGGAGATCGCAAGCACAGCGAGACAAGTCCTCAGCCGCATCTGGGGTTTGGATCTGAGCAGGGCTGATTCATACGCTTTGCTCTCTTTCCTTTGCTTTACCACTCTTCCCTGTCGCACTGCTCTTTATGTTCTGTGCTTAATCATTCTGAGTGTAATCATAATTTAGAAAACCTAAAACATTCTTCTTTTTTTATCTTCTCACTTACTCATTTTGGAGTAATTAAAGCCGAATCACAATTACTGTTTTGTAATGTTTTTCTAATGCTGAGACTGCTCAGAACATTGAGAAATGGTTCTGCCTTCCTGGCTCCTGTGTGCTGCTCGTGTTGCTCACTCCGCTGTCTCTTCATGTCTCTGCACGGGGCGAGCAGCTGCTCTGCAGCCCAGGAGCTGGGGCACAGCACGGCTTGTGCCTTTGGTGGGCATCAGTTTCACACATGTGTCCGAGCCCCACCACAGCCCTGGGGAGTCAGGATTACTGGTTTCAAAAGCACTGGTAGAAAAGAAAATGGACTTTCAACTCAGAAAGTCCTAATTCAGGTTTAACAGTTATGTAAATTACCCAAGGCCAGATTCCTCACCTGCATTCCAGGCTACTGGAGACCATCCGTACTGGTAAACGTAGGGCAGCCTTTCATTCTCTGTCAGTATCCTCTCAATACATAGAAAAGCATTCATCTGTGAACATTCAGGTCATCTGTATATCTTTGGAGCCCTGAATGGTGAAATCACGTGCTCCATACTTACGTCAGAAGCTGAATCCATGGGAAGGAATGTGCTGGGCTTTCCTTCCGCAGGGGTCTGCCCTCCGGTTGCCCGCCCTGAGCCGTCCAGGCCATCACCCATTCCACGGGTTTTAGTGCACTGCTTCTCAAGTGTATCTGAAAGATCAGCGTTTTGTTTTCTCTTTGTTTTTAAATTTCTAATCCATCACAGACTGATGCTTTTGTAATAAGAATCAACTGCTAGAGAAGGGATCATACTTTTGGGGGGTCACTGAAATATTGATGTTCTGTGCATTTATGAATTCCTCCTTTTGATCGCCATGCTTATCTCCCGGCCTGGGGTGGGTCTGCAGCCTGGCCATGGGAGCCCACATTGAGCGGTACAGCAGAGGGCCCTGTTTCTAGTTCGAACCTTGAGCACTGGTGAGCCCTTGAGCCCCTGAAGTACACGCAGATGAGACCGAGATGCGGGCATTTCCGGGGAGGGCACTGTGGTTCCATCTCACGCTGTCACCATGTATTGTGCTCTGCAGGCCTCTCAGACTGGAGGTGGTTTCTTGCGACTCTAGGTGCTATTGATCTTTTCCTTCTCTTTTAAAAGTCATATTTTTATTGTTAAGACCACAATAAACATCAATATAAAGGAAACTTAAAGGAAAAATCATCCACAATTCCATAATCTCTTCACAAGAATCTGTCTTCATTAGAGAATGTCTTGTATTGTGTCACATGTTTTAAATTGTTGCCCTCACACTATACGTATATATAAGTATATATATAAATAATTGTCTTTTGTTTTTCAGTTTGACTTTATATTAAAAACATTTTTCATGTTGCTATATGATGTTTTTATGTGCCCTTTTCAATAGCTTATTATTTGATCATGCAAAATGTTTTTTCATTTTCTCTGAGTTGTTATCATAGTTTTAGAGTCCCATGTTACATGGACTTTGGAGTCAGTAGAATATCAGCTACTCTTCTTCGTAGCTATGTGGTGGCCTCGAGCAAATCAGCTAACTCTCTGAGTCCACTCTCATCTGTGGGTGTAAAGCGCCTGGCACAGTGCATCACAGTTCTTCACTGCCTGTATCTTAATTTCTGCTGAACAAACTCTTTGACTGGTTTGATTTTTCTGCATTTTACTTGTTCGAAACTTCTAGTACTCTCGGGATTATGTGAGGTTGTTTGTTTTTCTTACTCATAATTGGTTTTAGTTCTGACCTTCTCCCCTTTTGTTTGGTAGGTCAGCTTGTATTATGTTCATGTATAGCCAAGTGAGATCCTTTTAGAAAACAGCTTTCTGTGTCCAGTGAATTCTTCTGTGTCATTAGATTAGAGCCTTTTCTCTGGTTTGTTTGGTAGGTGTGGCTGTGTTTCCTCGTTGAGTGTTCTGTGTTCAAGGTTGAGCCAGTGAAGCTAAACTTAGGGGGTGTCTTTGGCAAGAATCTTCTTTTTCATTCTAATATATCTCTGCAATCCCCAGGACTTCCTTAATCATGTCTAAAGGGTCTAGGAGAAGTTTTGGCAGTGCTGCTAATGAGACTTTAGCACACAGTCAGTGGAGGATTTTCCTCTCATCAAGACCTCAGTGAGCATTTATTCTCAGGGCCAGAGAAGGTGCCCACATGAAGCATTTTATAGGAGCTACAAGCTATGAAAAACCTCTGATTTTTGTTTTGCTTAATTGAAACATATGTTCTTGGTTCTCAATTTCACTGTGTGCCTTTGTGTATTTTTGTGGTGTGTGTGTCTGTGTGTGTGTGAGGGTGGGTCAGTCTAGGACTGACTCCCACTTTGGAGTTATGAGCAGGATGTGATTTCTTTTGAGGACACATTAAGTTCCTGCTTTCTGATTATTAGTTGACCTCATCTGTCTCAGCATTTCATTTCTGTAACAACATTAAATAGCATCCCTTTTACAAGCTTTTGTATTAACAAAAGGAAGAACAGAAAAATTATATACCTGTTAAAACGCAGAACCAAATCATTGTCCTTACCATTTGGCATACTTAATTATGATTTTGTAGTCTGATAATCCAAATGTCTTCCCTCTGTGGGCTCCTGTACTGTATTTGATGGATATATTTTTTAAATGAGTATAATTTGGTTGATCTATAAAAGTATTTAAAAAAGGAGCTCTTAAGTTTGAATTTTGACTCTAAAATTCTCTAGCTCATGACAAGGACACAGAGTCCCTTTGAGCTTTGCTTTTTTGATCTGTAAAATAAGGGCGATGTTATTTCTTACTCACAGTTGTTTCATGTTCACTAAGATAATATATGTGAAAGCACTTGGTAAATTATAAGGGACTGCCCAGTGGTTGCTGATTTCAGTTTTATTTAAAGTCTGCCATTCTGGAACAGGAGCTATAAAAGTTGGAGCTGCTTCAAGAGAATTTTGAGGAAGTGGCGTAGGTTGCAAATATGGCAGAACACAGACCAAAACTGAGACATCAGCATACTCTGGTGCTATAATGGATTCCTAGGTTACTGTTGCTGCAGGATTGGAGGGAAATACTGAATGAGAGGAAGTCCCTTAGTTCATTTTTGCCTTTTTAAAAATGCTCATCCCAAGAAGACTGAATTATTAACCACTCTGTTGGCTGAGTCTTAAAATTCCCTTGTGAATGAGTTGTTTTGGTATAGTAAGAGGGTTAGTATTAGGTTCTGTGTAGATCTTTCCTGGTGTAGCTACACGTAGCATTTCCCCTGGTTTTGTTTTCAATTTGGGTGTGAAGTTTAATGTGAACACCAGGAACTGCTTTGCTGTGACATTTTGTGGGAAATACTTTACTTTGGTTTTCTGATTGCTGATTAACAGAAAGAAGCCTTTCTTCTTCACTTCCTCATTATTATTATAATAGTGCACCGAAACTCCATTTTATCTATATGTCTGAAGATTTTAAAACTTACCCCCGTAAAAAGGGTGGCAGACTGGATATAGACCTGAGCACTTACTTGCTGGTGGGAACTGCTCGTTTCCTTAGCTACGACAGCCTGAGCATTTTGCAGATGGGGAAGCTGGTGTTTCCGATACTTAGGGTGCCACATCTGGGAGAGCCACGTCTGACGACCATGACCTGACTTCCGGGGTGCCCAGCTTCCAGGCCCGGCCTTTCTGCCATACACCGTTTTCTGAGCATTTTCAAAATATAAACAAATAGAGAAGGGCACATTTCTTTTCCCTGTGTATTTACCTTTTCCATTGTGTTTATTTTTTAGGAATGCTTCTTACTGCCAATGAAACCCCCAAGATGGGCATCTATTACATTCCAGTAAGTAATACAAATAGGAGTTATGATAAAAATAGGACAAAGATACTTTATTTTTAAACTGGATGTATTGAGGGACTTCGGGTCTGCATGTGGCAGTGTAAATTAAACACAGCAGGCTCACCTACAGGTTCGCTGGATTCTTGGAGCCAGTAAAATAATGCTGAACCATTTCTTTGTGGGAAACTACTTACATTCACATTAAAATGGACATTAGAACTCAGCCTTTATTCTATAGATTCACATTCATTTTTGTTTCCTTTAGGTATATGTATTATTAGTGATCAAGGAGTCTAGTTCTAAAATAAAAGTCTAGTTCTCTCCCAGTCATCTCATTGTAGTTTGTTAGATTGACATGATCAGTGGCAACATGCAGTTTGCAGTCCTGTCCCTTTGTTTCCCTGCCTTAAAGAATTCATCTCCTGTCTGACAGAAGCTTCCTTTCTTTCACCTTTTCAGTTTGTAGTAGGAAAACAAAACAAAATATGATCTAAACATAAAACACACAGTACAAAGTAGGCATTAAATTACTTTATGGTCAGCACACATCTCCCTTTTCTGAGATTTGGGAAGAAGTGAAGGGTGACTGGTATTGAGGAGCAGAGCTTCAGGGAGGTAAACTCCGTAACCACTGTCAGTTCCAGTGTGGAAAGTTCTTCATATTTATGACAGTTCTTTTGAAAGAGCTTAACAATGTGTGTTTCCCAAGAAAAAAGTGTTTTGGTTGAGGTTGACTTTCTGTGGTCCCGGGAAGCTAATATGTTGTTAAAAGCACTTCGAGGTATTTTTTGTTTGGTGGTGAAATGAACGCCATCCAAACAGCATGCTTTTCCATTTTTCTAAGTTGTTTCTTTTTCTCCAGACTCCCAAAGACACTGCTTCCATATTCCTCTCAGTTACCCATCTTTCCTTGTCTTCGTTTCTGAAACCAGTGTGTGTATGTATGGTGTCCCCTGTGTGCCAGGCACAGTGCTGGCAGGGTAGTGGCGCAAGGTGCTGCCCCTTCCTCAAGGAATTCATCGTACATGAAAGGGAATCCAAGGAGGTAGGCACTTTCAGTTAAGTGTGATGGATGCTGTACCAGAAGTAAGGAAGTGTAGGCCTGGAACTGGTGGAAGTGTCTAGGATACTCAGAGAAACCTCCCCAGTGGAACTGACTTCTGGGGAGAGACCTGAGGGATGGTTTGTATACTGGATGAAGAGGGGGGCTTGGAGTGCGATGCACAACAGAAGGATCTTGGGAGGTCAGGGAGAAGGTCCTCCCCGTGGCTGAGCAGTAGACAGGGAGGGACGGGCGGGGTGAGAGGCCTGGGAGCCAGATTGTGAAGGTCTTGTTAGCCAGGTGGGGAATGTAGAAGAGGGAGTCAGGGAAAAGTTTTAAGCGGAACACTGATATGATCACATTTGCTCTTCGGAAGGATTCTTTTGGCTGCCAGATCATTAGACAGGCACTAACCCGTGACAGCACCCAGAAGAGGCTACAGCCAAGCACAGGGAGGCAGCGGTGCCCATGTTACCTGTGCTAGGCCTCCTTTTAGTGGATGTAGCTTTTTGGGTTCTGGGATAATTTGAAAGAAGTGTGAGCTGGCAGGCAGTCATTTTAGGGGTTGTTATCCTTGAATTGCCAAGTGGCTGGTCCCAGCAATATTCACTGATGAAGATTTCTAGAGATCACGGAGTGCCTGCCCTCAGTCCAACCTGGCAGTCTTCCCAGTGTGATCCCCGTTGGGAACATTGTCTAAAAAGACAGAATGAATCCACTCGCCCCCTACACTTTATTCTCATCCTGGGAGCGGTCTCTCTCCATCTTCCTCTTAGAGGTGCTTGCTGTGTTTTGCTCTTCAGCAGCTGCCTGTAAGATGGTATCTTGGACGGTAGACCCTTCCTCCTTGAAAAAGTATGTGGGATCCGCCAGTGGAAGGGGGGAAGCACTCCAAGGCAGTGGGGAGCGCTGCTCAGTAGACAAGCAACTGCAGGCTGGAGAGCCCCTGGGGGGGAGGAGGGAGGGCAGTCTGGATGCCCGCGCAGGGGCCCGTCTGCTGGTTTGTGCTGAGACGGTGGAAGTGGGGACAGAATTGGAAGAACTGTTAAGGTTGGAAGGCAGGCTTGGTAATCAGTTGAATGCGGGGCGTAAGGAAGAGGACAGAGCCTGAGATGCCAGCCCAGATTCTGCTGGGTAGATGCGAGGCGGCCATTCCCAGGGTCCAGGAGGGGTAGAGGAATGTTAAAATTGTTTTTCCTTTGGTATCATATGGTACATTTAACAAAATGACCTTTAAAAGGAACAAATACAGCTTCTTTGGTTATGTAAACAATGTATGCATATTTCTGTTTATTCCAAGTGTTTCACAAAGTAAAAGAAAATAAAAACCACCTATTTCCCCCTTGATAGTATCATAAGCACTATTAATATTGGGACATACTATTTTTCAGTTACAGTGTTATGGACATGAAGTCAGATGTTATATAAAATTTTATACCCTAGTTTCTTCAGTTAACCTTAGAAATACTAATTCCAAGACATTAAAACTTCCTAAAACATTTTTAGTTATCTCTATTATTCTTCATGGCCGGGTTTGTGATACATGATCTTAAAACTGTAGGAGACCCTTTATTCACTTCTGACTCTCTGGGTCTGTTTCTCAGGATGGTCTTTTTGTTACAAGTAATGGGAACTTTAATTGGCATGAGTGACAGGGGCTGGCTGCTGGTTTGCTGGTGACAAATTGCTTTCTTGACAAATGTTAGCTTGTAAGACCTTTTCTGTTTCAACTTTTGTAACTCAGAGTTTATAGAAAGCCGTGAAGAAAATCCACAGAGACCACTCCTAGGTGACTGTGCATGTGGGGACAGTGAGAGCACGTCATTCTTGCTCAGCTCAGCATTGTGCTGAAACTTGCACATAGGTGTTCCTTCCCGGCCCGCCTTGTGCCCTGCTGCCTTGCCCGGAGTGTTTTACAGTGCCACTCGCCTTCGCTCGAGACCTTCCCTCTGTGAGACTCCTTCAGAGCAAGGAGAGAGCCCAGGGGTCTGAAAGCCTGCCATTTTTCCTAAGATTGCATCAAAGTTAGCAAGCTAATATTTGGCGCAAAGGTTCATTTGAGGCCTATAAAACCAGAGAAGTATGTTTTTAATATAGGATTCATGCCAAATTTAGGAGGTTTGGACTGTGATTTCTATTGACATCTTATAAATTAGGTACGAAGACTCTTTTCCCCCCTTTGGGCCTATGCTAAAAATAAAGACAGCTAATGTTCTTTTAGCCTGTTAAGTTTTGCCTTCCTATGTGATACCATCTTTCTTGAATACTTGAAATCTTTATAGATTAAATGGAATTTCTGATTTACAGACTCTGCCACTTACGTAACCCCATAACTAACTAGTCTTTTATAACCAAATGGATTTTCTCCAGTCCTGCTTCCATTTTCTCAGTATTCTTCCCTTTTTTTTTTTCCTCTCAGAGACCAAGATCTGTTATTTTGTTTGTTTGTTTGCTTGCTTTTAAATTCTTGGGTCGAATTCAACTACAGCTCCTGAGACTAATGCCAAGAATGACTTTTCAAGTTTAAAAATACATTTTAATCTTAGCTCTTTATAATAACAACTTTGGCAACTCTGTAACTACACAGAGAATCCAAGTCTCCTCTGGCACCCAACCCCAAACCCAGCCAGTGTGGTTAACATTGTTTCCACTGGAAATGTTCTTGAGATCCAAGCCCCCCATCATGAACTCCTGAAACCACTCATTACTGGATAGTTGATAGCTTGCATGCTTGATAATGTATACGGATGTGTAAACTTGATGGGAAATATAAGAGGAAGAATGTTTTTGTTTAGGTAACTATTTGATTTAGAAGAATAAAGGTCAATTAATTAAGGATGTATTTTTTTAAGCATGTAAATTTAAGCCACTATAATGATTATATACAATGTCACTGAACCCAGTTTTCATACTGGCTGTTAGGCATTTTATTTTAAACCATTTTCTTTGGGGAAAAAAATGCCTATATTGTTTTTGTTAAAGTGTTTGTACTCTTTATAACAAATCAACAAAATAGTCATTAAATATTTTAAACTTTACTATTTAATCTAAAATTATATTTTAAATTTGGAAAGTACTTTGGAGCCAAATATCCTGCAGATGGGACAGAAAGGATGATATTTAACTTGCACTAATGCTGCTGTTTCTATTAGGAAACAGCACTTGAACTTACCCAGCATAATGCATAAACTCCACAAAACTCTTGTCTCTGCAGATAGAGATTACTAGGTGTTAAGAAGCAGAAAAACCTCAAAAATACTAGCTTCACTTAACTATGAAACACACACACATATCCTCACAAAGGATGTAAAGCCAAAAGAAATGCAAAAAATTTTTAGTAGCCAAATTTTGTGGCATGTAATGGAAGGTTCCGTCTAATGAGTATCTTTAGGTCTCTTCACTTCTGTGAGTTACCCACTCACAAATGCAGAAAGGTCAGGTGGAGCCGGGTCCTGATACCGCTGCTGGACTCACTTGCTCCTGTCTTCACAGGGTTTAGCCAGTGGCCTAGGCTGAGCACCTGTGCTTCAGTTAACTCAGACGACAGGCCAGTAGTAAGTGCTGCATGGTTTGGGGGGTGGTCAACGAGGCGCTTTTTAATAACTTAATTGTAGCATTTGGAAGTCGATTTTAGAAATATGGCATGAAAAACTTTATAGTAAATACATGGATATTTGCATTTGGGCGGATCTGGTTGTCTTTGCTTGATAAAGAATTAAAAATGGGTATCGCTCTTTTTCACCAGTATTTTTTTTTCCTCTATGGGTTTTGTGACCAAAAGAAAGAAATCGAAGTACAAATAGTTTTGACTATTCATTGTGGTGAATTGAATTCGTTAAGTCTAGTTCTAAACTCAGCCGCACTGTCAGATTGTCTGTTATAGAAAGATATCTGGATATTTTGTTCATCCCTATGTGGCCTCCCTCAGAAATGGCATCCTTTTCCAGGCCAGTATTTCAAA